CCTCTCTCCCTCCTTCCTTCCTCTACTAGTTCCAGCTGTCCTAATTTACAATGTCATAAAGCCTTTAATTTACACTTAAATTATGTTTACTTTTAAGAGCTGGCCGAAACTGTTCCAAGTCTTAAAGTTAATAATTAGTGTTAAATGAAAGTACAAGTAATTCAACTATTATTAATTTAATTACCTAAGGGCCTTCCTTCTTTCTTCTTGCCTAATGTTTGTAAATAAAACTAACCAAAATACAATGCAAAGTTACTTTTTAATACAATGGTCCTTCTTACATCTGCTTGACAGCAAAAATTATTAGATTGCAATCATAAAAGAAAACTTACTTAGGCCATTTGATTCTATTAAAAACAATGTCATTTTCAATGTCAATTTCACTCAATCTTACCATTCTCTTTTGTACTGTCTCCTCTCTCCTCTTTGTCTCTGTCCTTTTTGTCTCTTTCCCCTTTCTCCTCTGTCCTTTCTCCTCTGTCTCCTTTCTTCTCTTTCTCCCTGACTTCTTTTTCTGCTATAAATAGTTATTTTTTGCTTTTTAATGTACAACACAAACATATAAACAACTTACCAAGTTCATCTACCAAAAAAAGGCATTATAGTTATCACTATAGGGTTACACATTCCCAACTTACCATCAGATGGATGGACCTCAATGAGGACATCCTCTATTGGGGCAGCCATTACTTTTTGATTTTGAACTTACAGTTTCAGGTGTCTTATTTTATATCCTAAAGGTCACATTTGACACTTGGTGTTCTTTGATTGGCTGTGAATGACGCAATGACTTCTATTTCGGTATTCTTCTCCCACACATTTTTATCATCAGTCCTCTCACCTGTGAAGATAAACACATATCACCTGCATGATAACTTCGAGACTAACTTTCTCTCAGCCGAGACTAACTTTCTCTCAGCCTTCCCTTTTGAGTTAGTAAGTTTAAAACAAAAATGAGTGTTTGTGTTTATGTTGACGTCTCACGCACATACTAGTTCCACACCTTTGTTTTCAAAAAAGGGGATCCATAGTTTGTATGTCTTAGCGTTACAAACGAGTTCCTCTCCTTTAGGGGATCAATAGTTTGAATATTTGGCATTCAAACTAGTTCCACTCCTGTTTCAGGGGATCAATAGTTTGAATGTTTGGCATTCAAACTAGTTCCACTCCTGTTTCAGGGGATCAATAGTCTGTTGT